TATTGTATTTTGAATCGCTCAAATGATTGTCAAAACGCACTAAAGAATGTATTCTCGAATGGCTATGATTGTCCAAACGCGCTATAGATTGCCTATGTTTATGCTAATAACACTAATGAAGTTTCATTTTTGGTTGAATGATTGTCAATAAATGCAACCGTTTGTCAATTGGTGCTATTGAATTTTCATTGCGCGCACATGAAACAACGTTCCACCCAAATGATTGTCCAGTCGTTCAGTTGATTGTCTATTGATACTGTTGAATGCTCGCACGTATTTAAATATCGCTATTGAAAGTCGTTTCGCGCCAATGATGTTGCTTACGGTGTTCAAGAAAGTACAATAAAAGTTATTGAAGCATCGCTTGGCACAAATGAATGTACGTTTTACGCTAATGAACAGCAAAAGGTGTACATACCGAACTAAACAAAACTAAGAACGAAATACACAAGGGACAGGGCGAACAAAGACGCGTAAAACAGAAACAAAAGAGGCAAAAAACATGATTACAAGGAGCTAATCTAAATACATTTTAGACACTATCTGACCGCTACATATACAAATGAACAAAATAAACTTGAAATTTGTTTTTCCATAATTGATTGTAGATATTACGCACATGTTTGTCGTTTCTCGCAATTGAATGTTCATTTCGAATGAATGATTTTATAGAGGCCCAATTGATTGTTCTTCTCTATGGTAATTTTGTTATTGAATGTCTCTTATGCACCATTGATCGTCAATCGATGCAATTGATTGTATCTTGGTATTAATGATTGTTAATTCAGCGAGATTGAAAGTACGTTTGTTATCTTTGATTGTCCAAAGGTGCAATTGTTTATCTTTTAATGCTATTGAATGTCACTGATATGTAAATTACGTAATTGAATGTTTCTTGGCGTTATTGAAACTTAAGATAATGTTAATGAATGTCTTTTCGCCCTGTTGCTTTTATAGCTGACGTAGATGAATGTATATTTTGCGCAAATGAACAGCAAAAGGTGTATAAACATTGCAACAAACAATTCATGCATGAATTGGAATGAGACATGAAAAGAATGGATACGCACTGTTCTAAGAGTATCAAGTACTTTATTGTGTCATTGAAAAGGTTTTCGCAGAACAACAGTACAAAATGATATTGGTAATCCGACCATTGTTACTGATTTCCCACCACGAACTTTTAAACGTTCTATTCAATGCTGAAGTTAACCCCGAAAAGTAGTTTTTATATTTGCAAGTATAATGGCAAGAAGCTTATCAACTATTATGAAACACTAAAATCCGTCAAGTGCACATGCTCAGCTGTACGAAGTAGTGACTCGGAACCAGAGCTACTAGGTCAATTTGGCCCGAAATCATCCCACATTTCAGTTTGACTGAGATGATAATGAGAGCGTTTAAAAAGAAGAGAGCTGTAGGGACATTCAGTTCTCCCTGCTACGAAGCAAAGGTTTCCTTTGCCTTCCGTGCCTCATGCATAACATGAGGGACGATTAGTCTAATCTTCCCTCATGTTATTATGCATGAGGGACGATCACTAGTAATCKTCCCTCTTGCTATTCATGAGGGAGGGATGTTCGCTGGTAAACATCCCTCGGAAGATAAAAGAATCCGAGGTGATCATGGTATCATATTAGTAGCATCAACCTTTTTAACTGTATCTGATGGCCTGTGTTTTCAGATTGTTTCAGCACAATATCTTAGTCCATGAAAGTAAAAAGGGTTTGATCTACGGCCTCTCAATCGAATTTTATAGGCATGGATATGAATCAGTAATTTTTTTGTATCAATTGATTTTATCCTCAGCAAGAATCTAAAAAAGCAAAATACCCCAACGGGACAGACTTGCGACTTCCTTTCAATATGAACAAAGTGGAAATTCTAATGAAGCACAATCCACAAATCTACAATATGTCAAGGATTTCAGACGAATATTATCGCTACTTGGAGGTAGCTATCGCTCATTGGATGACACAAGGAAACACGTCATATAGTAATCCAGATTTTAAAATTTACCAAAAATATATTGGAGGAAAACTGGACACTACGCTGAACGCTAGCAATATTATTCAAGGTACTGAATGTATACAGCTATTTCAGAAAACGTTGAATACTGAACATAGTGTATTCCAATAGCAAAATGCATTGTTGACCGTCCGAGTGAATAAATGAACTCCTTTTACAGTCAATAACTTTATTGGAAAGCGATTAGAGTCTGCTCCCAGTYGTCAGGGGAGAGATCCTGACTAAGAAGAATCGAAATCAGAAACTGATAAAACAAATTTTCATTAAGTGCGGGTACGATCATCGAATTTGAATTGTTTTTGTACATATACCTCTTTATGGAGATCCAAATACTGTAAGTATTTCTGATAATTTTGTTTATCGATACATCATCGAAAAGCAGGAGAAATCGAGCTTTGAAAGTCGTTTATTTCCTATCCGCCATTAATCTGAGCCGAAGTGACGTCGGTTGGCGGTTTTATCCAAACGTGAAGCATATAATAACAATAATAATAAAAGTTTTCAGGACGCAATTATAAAATCTCATTGCGTTAACTATAAACATGGATAAACATTAATTAGTATAAAAATGACGTCTAAATAAAAATGTCTTTAGGCTAGATTTGAAACTGTCAACAGACGGAGAAGTTTTAATATATTCAGGTAGGATGTTCCATAGTTTAGGTGCAGAAAATGAAAACGATTGTTCACCATAGTATTGAGTGTTAGGAGGATAGTTTGACTGTAGTGGAGACTTTGTAGAAGAGCGTAGTGTCCGGGTAGGTTTGTAAGGTTTGATAAGATCAGACAGGTATGACGGAGCTTGGTTATGGAGGCATTTATAGGTGAGTAGTAGGATCTTGAATTCAAGCCTAGCATGTATCGGCAACCAGTGCAGATCGTGAAGGACTGCAGTAATGTGGTCTCTTTTTCGGCACCTGTAATMAGTCTTGCAGCAGTSTTCTGTATTCTCTGAAGTTTTGGAAGTTCAGAAAATGGTAATCCAAACAGTAGGCTGTTGCAATAATCGAGGTGTGAAAGAACCAATGCATTGACAAGACGCTTCAGAGAGTCCATTGATAAGTATTTCCTAATGCGACCGATGGCGTTAATGAAGAAGAAAGCTTTCTTAGAGATGTTTTTGATGTGATCAGCTAGAGTAAAATTAGTGTCCATGTAAACACCAAGGTTACGAACCTTTGTTTTAATGTTCACAGGAACGTTGGCAACGTAGAGTTGGTTTAGAGCTGATGGCTGTTTAACAAAACGTGACGATAGGCAAAGAACATCAGTTTTACCACGATTAGTCTGGAGCTTGTTAACAGTGTTCCAGTCAAAGATTGCTTTGATACAGGAAGAAAGGATATCAATAGRTACCACCAGAGTGGAGGGATTGACAGCGATATACAATTGAGTGTCGTCAGCGTAAAACATACAATCCAGGTTATAAGATTTTATCAGGTCTTGAAGAGGAGCAATATAAAGTGTGAACAATAGGGGRCCAAGYATAGATCCCTRTGGAACACCAAATTGTAAATCACGGGGTGTTGATGACGTTTTCTCAATGCTGACGAATTGAGTGCGGCCCAAAAGATATGATTTAAACCAGGTCAAAGAAGTATCTTTAAATCCAAAAAAGGAATGTAGGCGTTTCAGGAGTATGTCAAGGGTATCGAATGCAGCTGAGAGATCTAGCATTACGAGTATGATATCATTCCGTGAATCGAGAGCCTTTAGAATATCGTTGGTAACTCGCACAAGTGCGGTCTCCGCAGAGTGATGCGTACGATAGGCAGATTGAAAGGAAGGAAGTAGGGCGTTTTCATTGAGATAGTCATAGGTCTGGATGGCAACAGACTTCTCGATGACTTTAGCGATAAATGTGATGTTTGCCACTGGTCGATAACTCTGGAACAACTCAGTGTCAAGATCAGGCTTCTTATGCTTGGGTCGAACAACTGTACTAGTCTTAAGTGACGTAGGGAATTTACCATCCTTAAGTGAGGTACGTACAATTGCTGCAATAGCTGGAACCAGTTGTTGTAGGTGTTGTTTGAGCTCAGTAGAAGTGGGAATAGGATCAAGATTGCAKATCTTGGATGATATTGATTGTATAATGTCTATCTTATTTGAATCAGATGGTTCATTAAAGTCAGAGAAACCACATGGCAAGTCACGATCTTCAGTAGAAGGTGGTGCAGAGCTTTTAAAATTTGTTCGGATATCAAGGATCTTGTTGATAAAGAACAAGTTGAAATCATCAGCGAGTTTTTCCTCCGACTGACTGGTCGGCAAGGCGGTTGGCTTCAGTCTGAACATGTTGTCAATGAGACTGAATAGTATGACGTCATATGCTTAACCCAGGAACGAGGGTGTCCTTCAGACATACAAAACTAAGGGGAAATGAAGRTTTGAAGCGTATAAACAATGAAGAAACAAAGTCAGGAGCATCAAATCAAACGTTTTGTTCTGTCTCTGGGACTTCCCGAGTTCAAATGCAATCGTTGAAAAAATTGCAAGTTATATATTTCGGCCTATAACAAACACACCATCCATCCGCTCTTTGAAGACATATCTTTGAGATGTGGAGCACACGGCCAGTTGAATTCCCAGATTTATTGTAGACATCCTAAAGTTTATCATAAAAGTAAGTTTTATTTTCTTTGGAGTCTTTATATAAGTTATTTAAGACTCCAGTCATGCTACCGATAAGTTCGGCTTTGAACTGTTGATTTAACTGAGTACAAAATTATAATCACCGCGCGCTATGTTATTGGATTCACTATAATGGTGTCGTAATTTGTTTTGTTTTAATACACATGGAAAAAGACCAAGTATTAAAAGTGCTCTCGCCTTTTATCTTTAAATGTTTCAGAGCTGATACACTATAAT